GTTACATTATTTCTCATCTGTGTATGGTCCCTCCTAATTCTAATTCTGTCAAACTACCACCAAAACATTATTCCTAAAACATAACTTTCATCAGGTATCTCTTAGGGGAAAAAAAGAACAAAGAGTGTCACTCATCACCCCCTAATACAAAGGGTTAGGTCGCAACCCACTGCTGTCACCGACTAACAGTGCACTCTGAGGGAATTCAGGATGGAAAAAAAAGCATTCTATGCTTTGGATACAAGGGCTTCTAGATAGTTAAGATTCATATCTAAAGAGGAGTTTCAATGACCCCAGATTCTTGTATCTTCCTATACACAGAAAAGCACTAAAATCATTAACTTGATATATCTGTTCTTTGTGATTATAAGTAATATTTTAAAGCTTGACTATACATATTTCCCAGCCAATTAATCTCTATATATACTATATTCCTACCCTTGGAGCAGTTCCTCAGAGCTGTGTGAAAGGCTATCTCCCAGGCTATAGTTCAGTAGGTTCTCTGGATAAAACTGAAACTCACAGCTCTCCCATGGTGCAGTTTTATTTGTTGACAGTTTTGGCAACCATCAGGGGACCCAGAGAAGTCTTCTCTCCTTTGCCCGAACACTAGGAGAATCTGGAGAGTTTGTGACTCCAAGAGCCCCTTGTACCTTTCTACCTCCTTGGTGAATTCAGACAAATTTGGGTTAGTCTCTCCTGATCTTGGATCTCCTGTCTTGGCTGACAATTCTGAGTTTTATTTGGTGATGAATAAAAAAATATATCTGACTTTCCAGGTGTCAGATATTGAGAAATTTCAGATATTTTCAAAATTCTGACTCTAAGGAAACAGGAGTCCTTCTAGGAGGAGGTTACATTTCTCTTCCTGTGCCTTTGAGATTTAAGTATTTTACCAGGGCTCTTAGGAACTCATGTCACTCTTATCTAGACCATCTCCAATACCTGAGGCTGAGGGGAAAAGAGGGGGGAAAAGATCTTTTTAACCTCAAGCAAGTTAACTTGGCTTATTCCAACAGTTATTTATAAACTAGTGACTTTTATATTGTAATATTGATTCATGACTAAAACTTTAAATGAAGCTATGAGATCTGTGGTTGTGTCTGTCTCTATGTCTGTGTGCATGTTAGAGATATGATATGTCTCAAACTCCAGATAGTATTCCCAAAATTAATTTTTAAATGAGCTCTATTTAATTGGCTTAAAGGAAATTAAGTAAGCACTTACATAAATTCTCAGAAATATAAAAGAAACTAGAATGAATTTCAGGTTCACGCCATCTGGGAAGTATTTCAATACTAAACCAATGTTCAGTACTAAAGCTAATTTAAGTTGTTGGTTTAGTATAGGCATGTCTTAAGAGTTACCAAAATTTCCCCTACACCATACACAAAAATCAACTCAAAATGAATCAAAGACTTAAACATAAGACAAGATACAATAAGCCTCCTAGAGGAAAATATAGGCAAAACATTATCTGACATACATCTCAAAAAATTTCTCCTAGAAGAAATAAAAGCAAGAATAAACAAATGGAACCTAATGAAACTTACAAGCTTCTGCACAACAAAGGGAACCAGAAGTAAAACAAAAAGACAACCTACGGAATGGGAAAAAATTTTTGCAAATGAAACCGACAAAGGCTTGATCTCCAGAATATATAAGCAGCTCATATGACTCAATAAGAAGAAAATAAACAACCCAATCCAAAAATGGG